GCGTGGGGGGGGGCGCGTGGGGCCCCCGGGCGACGCAGGGGGCGTCGTGGGGGGGGGGGGGGGGATGGGACACAGGACACCCCAGCAGCTTCCGTGTCCCCTCCCTGCAGGCGCCGCATCCAGCAGGCCCAGCTGATGAAGGGACCCAACAAGATCATCCTCACCATGGAGGACCTGACCTTCATCAACACCCAGAGCAGCAAGCGGGTGAGGGATGGGTGGCCCTACCGGGGCGGGGACGGGGACTTCTGTGGTGGCCATGTGGGCTTCAAGGATGCCCTGTGGTCATTTGTGGCCTTGGTGGGCCCTAGTGGGACCCCCCATGACCATAAGCAGTCATAGGTGGACATGCATGACTATAGGTGGCCACTGGTGAACATCCATGGCCATAAGGAGCCATAGGTGGCCACGGCTGACTGTAGGTGGCCACAGGTGGCCATGGTGTGCGTCCATGACCATAAGGAGTCATTGGTGGCCATGGTGGCCTTGGATTCCTAGGTGACCATGGCCCACCATGGGTGGCCCTGGGTGGCTCCTCTGGGCCATGCCACCCCGTCACCCCCTTTCCTCTCTCCGCCGCAGGGATGGACGCCACCTTCGTCCTCCTCCTCTTTCTCCTCATCTCCGCCCTCGTCGCCGCGGGGGCTGCCCTCGCCTGCTTCATCCGGTGGGTGCCACCACCTCCTGGGGTGCCGTGGGGCTCGAGGGGGACCTTGGGGACGCACAGGGTCCCTGCCCCCGGGCGACGCAGGGGGCGTCGTGGGGGGGGGGGGGGGGATGGGACACAGGACACCCCAGCAGCTTCCGTGTCCCCTCCCTGCAGGCGCCGCATCCAGCAGGCCCAGCTGATGAAGGGACCCAACAAGATCATCCTCACCATGGAGGACCTGACCTTCATCAACACCCAGAGCAGCAAGCGGGTGAGGGATGGGTGGCCCTACCGGGGCGGGGACGGGGACTTCTGTGGTGGCCATGTGGGCTTCAAGGATGCCCTGTGGTCATTTGTGGCCTTGGTGGGCCCTAGTGGGACCCATGGGTGACACATCCCCATGGCTGATGGTCCCCGTGGCCTGGTGTCTTCCCCACAGCCAAGCAGGCCTTGGGGAGGAGACCCATGGACTGTTAGGTCCCCGTGGGTGACACGTCCCCATGGGTGACACGGCTCCAGCATCCCTGTGGCCTCAGGTGGTCCCTGTGACCAAGATCTGCCTTGGGAGGTGACCTATAGGTTGATGGGTCCCCATGGGTGATGTGTCCCCATGGCCTGAGGTGTGTCCCGATGGGTGACGTGTCCCCATGGGTGACGTGTCCCCATGGCCTGAGGTGTGTCCCAATGGGTGACGTGTCCTCATGGGTGACGTGTCCCTATGGGTGATGTGTCCCCATGGCCTGAGGTGTGTCCC